ATTGCCGTAGTCGTGTGTTTATTAGTCACGTTGAATCAATGAAAGCATTTAAATCTTCTGTTATTCAGCAAGGCAATAGGGATTTCCTGGGTTTCTTCTGCAGGGCGTATTTGGAGTTTCCGTGCAAGAGCGCCCTCTGGCCTTCGGATGGAGATTTACGACTGATCACAGAACCGTGCTTCACTGAAAGATACGCATGACAATCGCAGCTTCTGTCTAATTGCGGTTTCGATTTCATTTCATCGTGCAGCCCTGTATATATTAGTGCTGTCAAACGATTAATCGCATCCAAAATAAAAGTTTTTGTTTACATAATGTGTGTGTATTGTGGCAGTCTTGCCCACTGATTGCCAAACAAATTTTGGGGTCAGATTTTTTTTTATTCATTTTTTTTATGAATGCATTAAATTGATCAAAAGTGCGAGCAAAGATATTTGTTAAAATTTCAAATAAACACTGTTCTTTTGAACTTTCTATTCATTAAAACAAAACTATATATCACAGTTTCCACAAAATTATTAAGCAGCGCAACTGTTTTTAACACTGATAGTCAGCATATTCTGCATTCAGCATAATCAGCATATTAGAATGATTTCTGAAGATCATGTGACACTGAAGACTGGAGTAATGATGCTGAAAATTCAAATTTGCATCACAGGAATAAATTACATTTTAACATATATTAAACTATAAAGCAGTTGTTTTAAAAGGTAATAATATTTCTAGTGCTGTCAAACGATTAATCGCATCCAAAATAAAAGTTTTTGTTTACATAATATGTGTGTGCTGTGTATATTTATTATGTATATATAAATACACACACATACAGCATATATTTTGAAAATATTTACGTGTTTACATGTGTATATATTTATATTCATATAGTTTATATCATATATAAATATATTTAATATATAAACGTAAAAAATTGCATACGTTTTTATTGCGCAATTATGAAATCGTTTGCGATAATGACAGCTGTTTGCATAGCTTCTCAGTGAACTACGGCTCTGTGAAGTAAATGCTGCTCCATCTGAAAGCATGTGAAAATACCACATTTAATAACATATTTTTACTCCAAACTCACTTCATAACGTCAGTCGAGTGTTTGAAATAAATCCTTCTGTGAGATGATGTGGCTTCTTACACAGAATAAGGCACACAATATATTTCATAGTATTTAAGCAGTGATAAAGGCATTGCATTATAAATATACTTTATTTTAATGAAAATTATAATAATAATAACTCGGATAAACCATGTATTGTCATAATCGTGTGTTTATTAGTCACGTTGAATCAATAAAAGCAGTTGAATCTTCTGTTTATTCAGCTACCGCTATAGGCATTTCTTGGATTTCTTCTGCGAGGCGTATTTGGAGTTTCAGCGCGAGAGCGCCCTCTGGCCTTTGGATGGAGATTTACGACTGATCACAGAACCGTGCTTCACTGAAAGATACGCATGACAATCGCAGCTTCTGTCTAATTGCGGTTTCGATTTCATTTCATCGTGCAGCCCTGTATATATTAGTGCTGTCAAACGATTAATCGCATCCAAAATAAAAGTTTTTGTTTACATAATGTGTGTGTATTGTG